CATGGTTCACATACCAGTAGTTTATCCGCATTCGATCCACTAATGCGATTATACTGGAGGAAGGCTAAGACATACATGTCTCTAAGTGCCATATAAACGAAAACCATTTTATCAAAGGTCTAGAAGACAAAAGTGCTAAGTGCGAATTTAGAGTTTTAGACATTTTAATCCCCAATGTATTGTTTGAGCTTATTCCACCTTTTATATTTACCAGAATGCTAATTTCTTATCGCTTTCACAAAAAATCAAAGCTGGATATTAAAAATAAGCGACATGAAAACAAAGAAAAATACTCCGATGTCTTTTAAATAGCAATACAATATTTTAAAATTAACTTTCTGATCTTCGTAATCACATCATTACAGCTCTTTTGAACTCAATTACATCCAGTAACATACATAAAAATATATACTCGAATTGACATCCTTTCCCTTCTCTTCCTTGATTCAGTTCCTTGATCGATAAAGACAGTGAATATAAAGATATTTCAAGTTAAAATATTTGTTCACGGTCGACCAACAGCATGGTTTCGAAACGTCAACGGACGTTAAATAAATCGGAATAATTCTATTGTCTAATAAAATTATGTACACACGGCCTCACAATATTTACAACTATTATTTCAGTTATTCATTTAGTATTCACTATAAATATCAACGCGGTGCTAATATAGCTTACGTAATTTAAATTTTGCCGGAGCGATCGTTCTCACTATCAGATAATAGGTATTAATTAAAAGTTGCTTCACTGCCCCCCCCCCCTTTCTAGGGAGAAAGGGGGAAGAGTTGAGGTTCTAAATGTAATGCGTTATGGTACATTAATCAAATGTCTTCGTAACTTGTAAAAGTTGGTTATACTACTTAAGAAATGTTTCTTTGTATAAATACAACATTGTATTTTTGTTAGAGACCTGTATAGGTACGACTTTGATATAACTACACGTATACTTTAAAAAATATTGTTGTTTATAGCACAAGCCACGCATAGTTACGTGGTAGAGCCTTGGTAGAATGGGTCGACTCAACCGTGGTAAGACCACGCTCTCACAGAATACCAGCGTAAAATAGCAGCTTAGTAGTGCTGTGTTTCGTATGTTGAGTGTAGAGAACCTGAGACCCTTTTTACAGGAAACGAGGCATTCCATCTCAGTCCTCAGGGCTGGCAACTCATCTGCAAATCATCAATTTCAATAAATGTAGAAGTCTATTGGCCACAGCATCCACTTAATATCAGGTGGACTGTGTGCTCGTTTGTCACTTTTATACTATAAAAATATATATTGTGGTTGCAGCACAAATAGGTCGGCTCGACCGGGGTATGACCATGCTCTCACCAGCCTAAAAGCTCTACCAGCTTAAAATGCAGGTTAACGCTACTTTATTTCCTATGGTGACTGTAGAGAACCGGAGATCTTTTTTACTAGAAACGAGGCATTCCACTACCGGATATCATCCCATGGCTGTAATATGAGGCCAAAGAGAGAAATGAATAAGGAGATGGACAGCCTCATCTTCCTGATAAAAGCTGATACTTAATAAAAATTCTGTGGTTTGCCAACCCACCTACCAAGCAAGGTAACTTTGGCAAATAATTGTATTATTTTCTGACAAATATAGTTATTATTATTTTGTGATATTTAATACTTTAAATTTTATTGATAGTAGTGAGATTTGACTTGTAGTTTTATTGTAATTTTTATATAATTGTAATTTTAAAGTTATTGCCATTTTATATAATTTAATTGTGCACTACATAATTGTAATTTTATATCATTACTGTAATTTTATTTAATTGTTAAGCTTTTCAATTGTATTTTTGCATGAATTATTCAACACAATTTGTATTGTTCACAATAAATAAATATTCTAAATATGATTAAGTATATGAGGGAGGCCTATGTTCAGCAGTTAAACTGTTATAGGCTGTAATAGATGGAGGGATGGAGACATTTGTTATTTGTTACATTATATATGCTTGGAGATGGTTCATGTCTTGTATGGCCTGAGAGACTGCAAGGTTATTTGTCTTTTTTATATTATTTGATATATTATAGAAGAGGGAGCAAATGTGCATGCGGCTCACTTGATGGTAAGTGACTACCGCCGCCCATAAACAACCGCATCACCAGGGAAATTGCAGGTGCGTTGCCGGCGTAAGGAGAAAGCTCTTTTCTTGAACGTTCCTAAGTCGCATCGGTTCGGAAAAATCGCCAGTGGTAAACAATTCCACAGAGAAGTTGTACGAGGAAAAATCTGGTAAAACGCACAGTGGTGGACCGCTAAGCATCTGGATGGTGATGATGGTATCGCGAATTTTGTTACTTTTATTCCATTTTGATATTATAATAAATATATAATTAGTAAGGTTTGAAGAGACCTTTTGATAGGCTGTAAAGATGACCCTAAAATGGAATCCATAGCTATGGAATATTTTACACATTTGTGTATAATTATTATAGCTAGTGCATTTTAAGTTTAATTTTAAACGTTACCTTTTTATTATACAAAAAGGTTGTCCCCTCTAATACATAAAAACGAGCATGCGGCTCACCTGATTTGACTACCGCTGCCCATGAGTAATTACATCACCAGGAGAATTGCATGTGCATTGCTGGCCTTTTAAAAAAGTGTGGGCTCTTTTCTTGAAGGTCCCTAAGTCATATTGTCCCGGCATAATCTCTCGTGGTATTCGAGTCCACAAAGAAGTTATCCAGGCAAGAAAACTTCTGGTGAATCGCATATCGGTGTACAGCCAATATACGATTCTAATAGTTTAAAAAAAATAACTACCAAGATATATAAATTCAAGGTTCCCTAAGCACGCTTAGTAAGCATACTTGAAGTGTAAAACAAGCGACAGGTGTAACTAATACTTCGTCGAATAGATTCAAATGGCTCTGAAGTGAAACTGAGAGAGGTTTACAGTTTAAAACAAACCTGACTGTTTAGAGTTAAGTGGCTATGAATTTTCTTAAAGCGGAAGTTTGACGACTTAAGTTCTGTATTATGTAACTCGTAGAAATATTGTTTGTAAAATTATTGAATGCAAGGATTTTTCTTTTATTATTTGATAAAATATGATTTTTCTTTTAAAAGCAGGAAACAGATGACCGAGATCTGTGGCAATTTCTAGTTTAGGGATGTCGGGTCCGAATTCCGGGTCGAGCCAAAAATCAGTTATTAGGTTTTATCTATCTGTCTCCGGTTGGGCTGGATTTTCACCCCATCGGACTATAAGAGTGAGGGAACAAAGAGTGCACTTGTGCTTGCGCATACACTTGGACACTATAATCTTGTCTTCGGAAGATGGCTAGTCTCCGTTGAGATGGCCGCTGTGACGGAATTCTGTCTGGAGTACGTTATTGTGGCAATTCATAAAAGGACTTGTGAATGATAGGAATGATAATGATGAGTTTGATGACAACTACAACTATAGAAATGGATCTGATACAAAAAAGTCTTCAGCTGACGAAAAATCTGGTAAGGAAGGAAGAGCTTTAAACGATATCTTAATAAGACCGGCGGTGGCAAACTAGTAGCGGAATCAAGAACCCATCATGTTCTTTTTTATAGCATTAAGTGACAAATGGAAAGAATAAAGTTATAAATGTGCAAAAATCACACGCATAACTTTTTGGTGCAAAAATAGGGAATGAATTTTGAACGCGAGGATATCGTTTTTTTTTTTTCAAATATTGCATGCACTTTCGAACTGCTTGCCTGTGTGAAATGACGATGGAACTTTGATTTAAAAAATAAAAAGCAGCAAAGGATTTGAATGGATGACAAGTTGATTTTTTGGTATGTAGCGTTAGTCAATTCTCTTGTTTCTGAAATGAAACGCGCAAATTAATTTGATGTTTTAACACTTTTAAAACTACAATATTTAAATTTAACTGAAATAGAAACAGAAACTTTTACATTCAATCAAGATTATAAATTATATTATCAAAAGTCACTTCTATCTTTCATTTACTGCTAATTCGGAAAATACCAAAGAAACCTGCAAGATACAGCGCTGAACTTTTTTTTCAAAACAGAACAGTTTAAAGTCATATATTGTTAGCAATAAACTACAAAAACTAAATTAGTATTAGCTTGATAAATGGAACGAAGTTTATTATATATATATATATATATATATATATATATATATATATATATATATATATATATATATATACGCTTTGTTTGTTATAAATATATTGAATATAGCCGTGGTAGCTCAGGGGTTGACTCGCTGTAAATGCCACAGGTTCGATCCCCAGCGAATTTTAATTTGTAGGTGCTGATTTACCAAAAAGTCGTCAGTAAGGTAACCTGCATGACTAGAATGAAATTAACTTCATGTACCTGTCAAGTCCGTATGGGATTAAAATAATTTCGAGGACATGTGAAGAACCAAGACGCCATGAAACATCGCGTTGTCGACGCAATAAAATGAGTCAGTGCCCAGCTGTGGGGAGTACGTATATATAGGTCACGTAATATAATTCATTATCCCCTTTCGGTCCGTGAGTTTCGTAATAAGCGACTATGGGATACGCCAGAAAGGCTTCCAATAAATGGTGGTGTATCCGCCTTGTCGTCTTGCCTTGGCTAAGAGAAGTCAAGCATGGGTATCGAGACAAATCTTTGAACTTACGCGGACTGATGAATTTAAGAAGATGTTAAACAAGTATATGGCATTATTATGTGGCGTAATCAAATATTTTATTTCTTGCTTCCTTTCTTTAATCGACGCAATTAACCATTATAGACATATTGGTTCGGTCACTAGATGTAGTGACGACCTGGTAAGAGATGTAATAAATCGATGAATGCAGATACCTTAGGATCTTAGTGACATTTGTATAGGAAGCCTAAATTATCAGACGTGGACTTGTGATGGGATGTAGAGACTAGTGATGAAAAGTAGAATGTCTTGTTTTTTTTTGAGCTTTGTTTGTCTTATAAGAAAATATACAAAATCGGACTGTAATAATTAATTATATTTATTACCTGTGAATGTGGAACTGGTGAATATTCTTACGATCTTGGAGCTGACCGGTGGTAGCAGCTTCAGTGAGCCAGTAAAGATGAGATCAACTGTTCGGTCGTCCATGATGGCGGTTTTGGAAACTTGTACTTGGAAACTGTAATAAAAATAAAACTAATTCTATTGTTTTTCACAATATATATGTATGTATGTATAAAATAGTAGGGTCGGTATCCTCATTTGTGAATATATTTAACAATGTTGCGAAATTCTACACTCGTTTTTGAAATAGTAAAGATTACTCATGTGATTCCGTGTTAAGCTCAAATGTTATGGTATGGTGTCATCTTTTGAGGTAATTCTGTAGACATTGATATGATATTTAGAGTCCAAAAGAGATGTGTAGGGGCCATTACGAAATTAAAACAGACTGATAGTTGTAAACCATTTTATATTAGTCTGAAACTGTTAACATTTCCATGTCTTTATATATATATATATATATATATATATATATATATATATATATATATATATATATATATATATATATATATATATATATATATATATATATATGAGTAGCAACAAAGACGGTGACGTCTTTGTTGTTACGCATATTTCTTTATTTAAGTGCCTACATAGTAAACGTAATAATCACAAAATATGTTTTCCATCAAACAAAAAAGAAAGATATGCGGAAGAACATAACTTGACTTCAAACTTACTTGACTAAAAACTTGAATCAGGGAAGTTACCTCAGAGCTTGCCCGAGATTCGTCTTAATGGAAAATTTATTAAGATAGTAGATATGTTCAAGCATCTTGGCCATATTGTTACTTCAGACTTAAAAGATAACACGGATGTAGAACGTCAACGTAGATCTCTGTGTGTAGTAGGCAATATGATTGCGCGAAAATTCTGCAAGGCTTCGTCGGACGTGAAAATTACACTGTTTAGATCTTTCTGCCAAGCGTTTTACACGTGTCAACTCTGGGTAGACTATACCAAGAAAAGACATGATAGTATACGAGTAACTTATAATAATATCTTTAGACTTCCAATGGGATTTAATCGCTATTGTAGCGCCTCTGAAATGTACGTAAAAACCGGATTGACTCTTTTAAGGCAATCCATCGAAAGAGGATAGCATCATTTATGTCCAGATTTGACTTGTGTAGCAACTCTATTGTGCGCAGTTTGGCAGATAGGCAGATACAGACTGCAATGTACAGATGCTGGGTGAAAGTTGCTGGGTGACAATAGACTTTTGGAAATATTGCAACATGTCTATTCTTGCTATACTGTATATATGCTATATTATATTTTCTTGTAAATATGAATCTCTGTGTCTGCAATAAAGGATTATAATTATTATTATTTAAAAAAAACAGCCCAATTTAACAACAGCATATTTTGTATCGCCCCTCGAATTTATAACCATTTACCATTACACATTTTTGATGCTTCCACATAGATAGTTTTAAAATACTATTGAAGCAATTTCTTGTTAATAGGGTATACAAGGTAACAGTGTGAAAGAATATCTCGAAGATAAATATGAAATTCAATAATTGATTGTTACATGACTCAGAATAACCAAAATGAATTGCCTTGTATAATATTACTTATCTCTATTATTTTTGATTACGCATCATGTAAACTCCAATTATAACTAAAGCATGTTTAAGTAATTTAATATAAAAGTAACAAAATGTGATGAATATTGCATGCCAAATAGTGGAAAATAGCTATAATGAGTGTTTGTTTTATAAGTGATAAACTATGACAATACCATCTGTATCAACCTATATTCGCAATAAACGATTTGAATTTGAATTTAAATTGTACAATTTCATCACTCAATCGTTAGGACTTGTATGAGTCTTTTGATTGAACTTTTTAAGGCGCAAGTTTGGCCTCATATAATAATAATAATAATAATAATAATAATAATAAAAAGGCGTAGGGAAGTGACGACCCCATCGCCCGCTGATATAACGGTTATGTGACAAAACCGCTACGTCGGCGCAGTCAGTCAGCACCTTGCCAAGAGGTGTTAGTGCCGTGCCTCGGCAAAAATTGAAGGTGCCAGGGCCCGCTTGTGCACATGGCCTAACCATGAAACGGCGCCGGGTCTGGGCGTCTCCCGCTAAATGACGCCCTAAAATGGATGATGGAATCAAATGGAACGCGCAAAGGGCCGCTGCCTGGAGGTCGCCAGGGCGCGTCTGGAGCTGGCGCTGGACGCGACAGCATGCGAACCGCCAGCCGAGCGCGAGGTGCTGCACGACCACCCAGCAGCTCCTCGCATCCATCATCCCCACCAGCTGGCTTGGTGTCGGCAGGGTCTTCGCGGGCTCAGCAATCGGCACCCGCCACTGGTGGAGTACGCCGCATGCGTTGGACAACCCAGATGAACAGCAACGCATTGCGGGCGTATTTTAGGGCGAAAGGGGGAGAAACTGGAGGTTTTGCGTATCGGGCAAGGATGCATCGACTTTTTGCTGAGCTGGAGCCATCTGTAACCGTCACCGAACAAAACCTGGCAGACCGAGTTCGGTATATCTTGCGCTCAAATACATTTGATGTCACCGAACTCGAACGGCTACGACGTGAGGCTGTTCCTTCATCGGGTGAAAATGCTGCGGCTGAGGATGCGGCGCCACAACTTGCTGAGCAAACGGCAAATGTGGATGCCGCCGTGAATACGCCAGTTGTGGTTGATTCAAACGATGATGGAACAGTCGCCCAGGAACTGGAACTAGAGCAAATGAGGAGTACATTGGAAGAGGCGATTGTGGAAACGCGCAGTACGACTCTCGAAAATCGACCGCGACTTCCCCGCTTAGCCCTAAGCAAGCGGAATCGGGCTGTCGTGAGGGCTCTGAACCCAATGCTGGTTACCTATTTGGAAGCCAGCCGGGACCTTTGCGATACGGACTCAATTCTTTTTGGCGCCGCACTGGCAGTCTGCCGTATTATAGGTGCCAAACTTTCCACGGCTGGACGCGCTACTGGACAAAGTAGTGCTATCCCAGCCTGGAGAATAAGAATTGAAGAACGTATCGCAAAGGCTAGGGCCCTCATCGGCAGACTGATATGCTTCAGGTCAGGCAATACCAGGCCAAGGATTGTGCGCACCGTCAGGATGGCGTTTGCTGGGACAAATGTTAGTTTGTCCCAGCCGGATATAATGCAAAAACTGACGGAGCGCATAGACGACCTGAAGCAAAGAATAGCTGCTTGGGGAAAGCGGATTCGGCGATATACCGAGAGGTCGACACGGTTCAACCAGAATCGTCTCTTCCAGAGTGATCAGAAGAGGCTCTATAAATCATTGGAGCGACCAATAGTAAGTGGAACGGGCCCTGCACCAAATCAGGCCGACATGGTCGCATTCTGGCGCAGCCTGTGGTCAGAGCCCGTAAACCACAACGAGGGCCCTTGGACGGAAGTTGTGGCGAGTCAGTGTGCGAGTATTACGCCCATGGACCCCGTCATCATAACGCCGGATGACGTAGCTGAGGCGGTCCGTAGGGCCCCGAACTGGAAAAGTCCGGGGCTTGACGGGCTGCATCACTACTGGCTGAAGGGGTTCATGGTGTGTCACTCTGTGCTCGCCCGACAGTTTCAAGAGGCTCTCAACCAGAAGTCGCTCCCAAGCCTCTTCACTACTGGGATCACTCATTTGGTTCCTAAAGATCAGGGTGCCACAGACCCGAGCAAATACCGCCCCATCACGTGTCTACCGACCATATACAAGACACTAACATCCATTTTGAGCGCAAGAATCGCTCGTCACCTGGACTTAAATCAGGTGATGTCGCGCGCTCAAAATGGATGTCGGGGCGGCGGTCGTGGAACCAAGGAACCACTCCTCATTGACGCGGTCATTGGCAAAGTGGTGAAACGCAACCGTCGGAACTTCTCCGCCGCCTGGATAGATTACAGAAAGGCATTTGACTCGGTGCCCCATACATGGCTAAAGAGGGTCCTCGAGCTGTACAAGATTGACTGTACAGTTCGAGACTTCCTCGAGCAGTGTATGGGGCAGTGGAGTACGATCCTCTGTCATCTAGGCGAGCGGATGACGGCTGCGGAAAGCCGCATAAGGATAAGAAGGGGTATATTCCAGGGCGACTGTCTGAGTCCAATTTGGTTCTGCCTCTCTTTGAACCCTCTCAGTACTTTACTGGAGGGCTCCGGGAGGGGATTTCAGCTTCGGAAAGGAGGTACAAAAGTGACCCACCTTTTCTATATGGATGACCTCAAATTATTCGCCTCCAGTCGCTCCCATCTTATGGAATTGCTAAACATCACGTGTGAATTTAGCAATTCTATTAGAATGGAGCTGGGGACGGATAAGTGTGCGGTCCTCCATGTTGAAAGGGGAAGGGTTGCTAACTCTGAGGGCATAGACTTATCTATGCCCGTCAACTTAAGAACCCTTTCCGAGGCTGAAACATACCGATACCTGGGTATGTCACAGAACATCGGTATCGATGAGGCTGGTATGAAACAGTCAGTTTGCGACGTGTTTTATGCACGCTTGACCAAAGTGCTTAACAGCCTTTTGTCCGGTGTGAATAAGGCACACGCATATAACGGCTGGGTCATGCCTGTCCTCATGTATACCTTTGGCATACTCAGGTGGACTCAGACTGAACTTAACGCCCTGGATAGAAAAGTCCGCACTACCATGACGTCCCATAGGATGCATCATCCGAGATCGTCGGTAATGAGGCTGTACTTGCCGCGGAAGCATGGTGGTCGTGGCTTCTTGAGCGCGCTCACCATGCATAATCGCGAAGTGTGCAGCCTCCGTGATTACTTCCTGTCGAGATCGGATGATCCATTCTATAAGGACGTCATTTCTTGTGATAAAGGACTTACCCCTCTATCCTTAGCCAACGAGCAATGGCAAGACCCGGCAGTGCAGAGCATTTCCGACCGGGAGACCGTATGGAAGGAGAAGGAGCTCCACGGGAGGTTCTACAAGGCTCTACATGAGCCTTTCGTAGACACAGTAGCCTCCCTCCACTGGCTACGCTTTGGTGATCTCTTCGGGGAAACCGAGGGTTTTGTCTGTGCAATACAGGATCAGGTTATTAAGACCAACAACTATCGGAGATACATCCTAAAGGATGGCACCGTCGACATCTGTCGAGCTTGTCGCCATCCCGGTGAGTCACTTAGGCATGTTATCTCCGGTTGTTCGGCGCTTTCTAACTCTGAGTACTTGCACAGGCACAACCTAGTAGCCAGAATTCTACACCAGGAGCTCGCTCGTGGTGTAGAATACGGTCTCGTGGATCGGAAATTGCCGTATTACAAGTACTTGCCGGAAGCCGTGCTCGAAAATGATCGCGCCAGGCTCTATTGGGACCGGGCCATCATCACAGACAGGACTATTCTTGCGAATAAGCCTGATATTGTGCTGATGGACCGGGCACAGTCAAGGATATTTTTGGTCGACATTACCATTCCGTATGACGAGAACCTCGTGAAAGCCGAAACAGACAAGCAAACAAAATATCTGGACCTGGCTCACGAGGTGACCGACATGTGGGGTGGTCTGCCGACCGAAATTATTCCTGTAGTCGTCTCTGCAAACGGGCTAATCCCAGTCAGCCTCTCGGGTCATCTGAGGCGGCTGGGACTACGTGGCGGACCGCTCCAGGTTCAAATGCAGAAGGCGGTGCTCCTCGATACCGCCCGCATCGTCCGCCGGTTTCTTTCCCTTTCCCCCTAACCCTCGGCCGTTTGGTCTCCCCTGCCGAGGGCCTCCATCTGGTTGGGCTTTTACTTATTTATGTACTTTTATATTTATTTTATGTTATTGATATTTATGTATATTTATCTTTTCATTTTCATTTATAATTATATATCTATATAACCCAACCAGATGAGAAAACTATATAGATGCCCCACAATAATAATAATAATGTTTTATTTGCTGTAACAGTTTAAGTACTTAGAATATAGAATACTGTTCTCATTTCTGGTCTGGAGCACTCCAGTGCCACATCCTTTCAATTGACCTCATCCAGCGCAGAGCAGCACAAATTGTCAACGACAGAGTTCGTTCTTTCTGGTGCCGTGAAAAAATGTTTCAGCTCTGTGCTCAGAGGATTCGTTCAAGCTCCGCGATACCATACACATAATTTTGATGATTGGCAATGCACGACTGCGTTATTTACCATAAGTTTACTTTCTTGCAAAACTTGTTTGTGGAGTTGGCTGCCACGAGCAATTTTTCCGGACTGATACGATACGACCTTTAAAAAATGTCTTACTCTTTTTTAATAGACTTTTTATTAGATCATGAAAAGGGACAACGCTTAAAACAAACTGGTCTAATGGGACTTTATTGTAATACGTGAAAATCGAATATTGTCGTTTTTATATTTATTACATAAAGAAGGAAATGATACATAATATTATTGTAATCATACCGTATCATAGATGTGAATAAAAAGCCGGACTAGATCAAATAAGATTTTCGTCTTGAGGCTTCCAAACGTAACTAATTCATAGTTCAAGAACCTCAACGATTGCTGCCTATTTTCGATACTAATACACGAAGTCCGTAAATTAACAAAGTTATTAATATTCATACAATAGGCACGTACAACAGTGTAAGCAGTTAGATAAGTGCCTACTTTCAGCAAATTAATTAACTTAGTGAAATTTATAAATTATAAATATCTTACCTGTAATTACCATAAGCTTACCTAAGCACCGAATATTGATCTAAAGAAAACGTACGGATTATAGAACAAACTACTATTGGTAGCGGAAAAATGTTCTTTCCTAAACTGCAAATGTAAGTTTGTATTAACGAAAAATATTTTACTGTATGATAGAACTACAAATTAAAGATTTTCAGATTTTCCCCTTTTCATGTGCTCTGAGAACTTATTTTTTTCCAAATTTTATGATTATAGGTCTACGTAAAGTACCCGATAGGCTTTGATAAATGAGTTTACGAGTATATGCAACATAAATGGCCGTATCTTTTAGTTGCATTTATTTAGAAGCTTGAAATTTTTACACCATTAAGTGAATAAAGATCATAGTGAATATGATATTAATTTCAACTTTCAAATTTGTTCGTTCCCGAAAAAAATGTTCTTAATCGACGAAAACACGGCAAATAAAATGAATCTATAAGGCATTTTCACTAAAAACATGAGTATGTTGTTATTAAGATAGGTAAATTAAAATAATTATACACCAAGATGTTTCCATTTGCCGTGTAGTGGCGGTTGAGAATATCCACTACCCCATATCTTCCCGTGGGTGTCGTAAAAGGCGACAGAGGGAGACAGGCAGGAGATGGGCAGCAGCATCTTTCTGATAACAACTGTATTATAATAAAAAAACTGCGGTTGCGAACCCGCTCGCCAAGCGTGGCACCATATTGACTATGTCAAATATCCCCCCATGAATAACGACGCAAAAAAACGGCCCCCAGTCTCCGGCGGCCCCGCTATTCCTGGCTACGGTGGCGACCATGGTAACGGCGGGGCAGGGGGTGCTAAGAATCTCCGGTGGAGGTTCGGTTGCCACCTACGACGACTCGACCTGGCAACATATAACGCACGCACTCTGAGGACTGACGAGAAGATACTGGAGCTGGAAGAAGAGGTAGACAAGTTGCGCTGGCATATTATTGGATTATCCGAGGTCCGAAGAGAGGGGGAGGATACGGCAATCCTCGAGTCCGGCAACATGTTCTACCACCGGGAGGGCGACAATCTGTCCCAAGGAGGTGTCGGATTTATCGTCCACAAGTCTCTCGTCAACAACGTTTTAAAGATTGGGAGTGTGTCGACGAGGGTCGCGTACCTGATACTCAGAATCACCAAACGGTATTCGCTGAAGGTCATACAGGTTTACGCACCAACCTCGGCACATCCCGATGAGGAGGTGGAGGAAATGTATGAGGATATTTCCAGAGCCATTCATTCCTCCAAAACCCACAACACGGTGTTGATGGGAGACTTCAACGCAAAACTAGGCACAAGAGAAAGCGGTGAGCTGAAGGTGGCGAAATTTGGAGTAGGGCAACGGAACCGAAGGGGCTAGCAGCTGGCCAACTTTATGGAAAAAGAGGGACTCTTTATGATGAACTCTTTCTTCCAGAAGCGGCCCCACAGGAAGTGGACCTGGTCGAGCCCCGACGGTTCGACAAAAAATGAGATTGACTTCATTATGACTACCAGACGCCAACTGTTCAGTGATGTCTCAGTGATCGCAAGGGTGAAAACTGGCCGCGATCACCGAATGGTTAGAGGCACACTGAACCTAAATGTTAAGTTGGAGAGGTCTCGTCTAATGAAGTCAACGCTCCGTCCCCCTCGTGCTCTAATCCAGAATCCCGAAACCTTTCAGCTCGAGTTACAAAACCGCTTTCAGTGCCTAGAGGATTGCAATGCAGTGGACGATATGAATGACAAGCTCGTGGAAACCGTCCATGCGGTCGGAGCTAAGTTCTGCAAAACCCGCCGCAGAAGAACACAAAAACTCTTCGGTCACACTCTTAATCTCATGGCTGTTAGACAGGAGATGAGGCTGCAATCGTCAACAGATTTGACAGCATACAGGCAACTGAACAGACAGATCTCCAAATGCATGCGGCGAGACTTACGCAACTTTAATACTGCTCGTATTAAAGAAGCGATCGAGCGGAACCAGGGCCCCAAAGTCTTTGCCAGAGATCTGTCTGCCAGAAGGAGCCAACTGTCAAGGTTGAAGACTGAGTGTGGCAACATCGTTTCCGAGACACCTGAGATTCTGAGTGAGATTGAGAGGTTCTATGGGCAGCTGTACACATCATCGTTGGAGCCACACGCAAGTGTGAGTAACGATCCAAGAGCAAGTCTTATCCGACACTATTCCGATGATATCCCGGACGTCAGTCTGAGCGAGATTAGAATGGCTCTCAACCACCTTAAAAAACGGCAAGACCCCGGGCGAGGATGGAACTACAGCGGAGCTTCTGAAAGCGGGTGGAACACCGGTACTTGAAGCTCTTCAATTCCGTCCTCCATGGTGGCACTACTCCAGAGGCGTGGAGCAGAAGCGCGGTGGTCTTGTTCTTTAAGAAAGGCGACAACGCTCTCTTGAAGAACTACAGACCGATTTCCCTTCTGAGCCGCGTCTACGTGCTGTTTTCGAGAGTCATTACGAATCGTCTCGCACGCAGACTCGACGAATTCCAGCCTCCCGAACAAGCCGGTTTCCGAAAAGGCTTCAGTACCATAGACCACATACATACCCTTCGGCAAATTGTACAGAAGTCCGAAGAGTACAATCTGCCATTTTGCCTGGCGTATGTGGACTATGAGAAAGCCTTTGATTCCGTCGAAATTTGGGCGGTGCTACAGTCTCTTCAGCGGTGCCTAGTTGACTATCGGTATATTGAAGGGCTGAAGTGTTTGTACAGTAGGGCTACGATGGCTATCCGAGTACAGAACCAGAGTACGAAACCTATCCAACTGCAGAGAGGTGTAAGACAGGGTGATGTTATATACCCGAAACTCTTCACCGCTGCGTTGGAAGACGTTTTCAAGCTACTGGACTGGAAAGGATACGGTATTAACATCAATGGCGAGTACATCACTCACCTTCGATTTGCCGACGATATGGTCCTTATGGCAGAATCGCTGGAGGACCTTAGCACTATGCTCAATGACCTCAATGGTGTCTCCCAACGGATAGGTCTTAAGATGAACATGGACAAAACAAAGATCATGTTTAATGTCCATGTCACACCTATGCCGGTAGTTGTTGGGAGCACTATGCTCGAAGTTGTTGACGAGTACGTTTACCTGGGACAAATAGTCCGACTAGGTAAGTCCAACTTCGACCGAGAGGTCAATCGACGGATTCAAATCGGCTGGGCAGCGTTCGGGAAATTACGACACATCTTCTCGTCAGGTATACCTCAATCTCTGAAAACTAAAGTGTATAACCAGTGCGTGTTGCCAGTGATGACTTACGGATCTGAGACGTGGTCCTTCACCGCTGGCCGTATGAGGACGCTCAAGGTCGCTCAGCGAGCTATGGAGAGGGCTATGCTCGGAGTTTCACTGCGTGATAGACTCAGAAATGAGGATATCCGCAGTAAAACCAGAGTGACCGACATAGCCCAACGGATTAGCAAGCTGAAGTGGCAATGGGCCGGCCATATAGCTCGAAGAACCGATAACCGATGGGGAAGAAAGGTTCTCGAGTGGCAGCCTCGTACCGGTAGGCGTAGTGTAGGGCGACCACCCACTAAATGGAGTGACGACCTGGTAAGACAAGCAGGAAGTCGATGGATGCAGGTGGCTCAGGACCGTGCTTTGTGCCATTACTTGGGGGGAGGCCTATGTTCAGCAGTGGACTTGTGAAGGGCTGTAATGATGATGATGATGATGATGTTTCCATTTAAAACCAATTAAATGAAATGATTTCTTATATTTACGCGAACACTACACATTGAAATAATACTAGTTTTTACGGAATTTATCGCGTATATTTAACTTTTTAAATACCCGACGTTTCGAACGGTTTACAGCACTCATGGTCACGGGCGGGACTGAGATGTTCAACGTCCATATGTTATAGTTAACCGGGGTTACCTTAGATTAAAATTTAAGTTTTGTTCCGATCCATGCAGTATGAACTTATGGTATCTTGAAGTCTTGCAGTTGTATGCTTGGGTTGGGATTTAATTTTATTTATTATAGGATCCCAAGTAGATGGTAGCACCCAGCCATCTTCTCTATTGAAATTAGGATGTTTTTTGATTTCAATAGCCTCGCGAATCATCCTTGGAAGCAATCGGTGTTCTTTAGCGAGGATTTGCGGTCTATCAAATCTGATGTAGTGACGGGGGCGATCCTGTACGTGTTCACAGACTGCAGACTTCCCGGAGCGTCGATTCTTCACATCAGCTATATGTTCTTTAACGCGGGTTTTTATTGATCTTTTAGTTTGTCCTATGTAGGAGAGACCACATTCACAATCAAGCTTGTACACTCCTGCATCTTGCAGAGGGACATTACACTTGACTGATGGTAAAAACTGACCAATCTTCTTCAGCGGCTTGAAGTATGTTTTGATGGAAGCACGCTTCAAGATGCAGCCAATCTTGTCAGTGACTCCTCTAACATATGGCAGTACAGCAGGTACACGCTCGACTGTGGCCGGCTTCACTCGTTCACTGTGACGTAGGCGCGGGACTCGAAGCTTGTTGTCATGCATAACTTGCTTGACATGGTGGAGCTCTGCAGCCAGGTGTTTACTGTCACAGATCCCTCGTGCTCCCTGAAAAAAAGATTTACCCACGGTAG